CGAGCTCCTCCTTGGCCTCGGCGTGCCCGTGGGCGACAAGGACGACGTGAGTGTCGCGGCGCTCCCGGGTTCCCCCAGCGCTGTGCGGAGCTGGCGTGGGGCTGCTGCCGGGCGGCTGAGGGAGTCGGGCTGGCGTGAGGAGCTGGGATCCGCAGCTTCTGTACAGACCCTTTGCCATCGCGGTGTCAGCTGCAGAAGCGCCCCGGGTGGCTCCCGGTGGCCACTGGCACTGGTCGCTTCCTTCGTTTGCTCCCTCTTCCGTCAGTTGGTGCATCCACTGTGGTGTCTGGGAGGTTTTTGGAAGCACGTACTGCTGTGTGCGCACTAGAAGGGCAAGTCGAAGCATTTCACTGTTTCATAGAGTCATAGAATAGTTTGGGTTGGAAGAGACTTTCAGGCTCACCCAGTTCCAGCCCCCTGCCACAGGCAGGGACACCTTCCACTAGAGCAGGTTGCTCCAAGCCCCTGTGTCCAACCTGGCCTTGAACACTGCCAGGGATGGGGCAGCCACAGCTTCTCTGGGTACCCTGTGCCAGCGCCTCAGCACCCTCATAGTTTACGTGGAAGAGGGATAATGAGACTGAATGAATCTTGTTTATCATCAAGAAATTTTAGGAGAATTCTTCTTATGCACAAAGTTGCAGAACCAGCAGTGTTTGGGTGGTTGTTGGGGGTTTTCATGTGTCAGTACGATCCTCTTAAATATATTGTGCCAAATCATGAGGTACCCCGAAGATTTCTTATTATTGGGGAAGGCATTATAGCGTATGGAATGGGTTCAGAGATTCCACAGGTTCAATTCCTTTCACAGTAAAGGAGATTGTCTGGTACTGTTCTAGAGGAAAGTTTGCATCTGCTATGAAGCATCCTAAAGATCACCCTTAAAGAAGTAAACTGTCCTGTCAGTTCAATTAGAGGGTAGGATATAGAAAAGATTGCAGAAATTTTGGGGCACCCTTTTGTGCCACTCTTACTTGTTATTGAAAGAACACTACTGTTAATTCTGCAGGAGTGATGTTCCCTGCAAGACGCCATGTGTAACAGGAGTGATTTTTGTCCTTTAGTCGGCAGCTTTTGTGAGGTACTGAGTGTGGACTTGTGAGAGGATGTGAGCCTTGTCTCTCTGATGATAATCAGTAGTGTTCAGCTTTACAGTTACAAGAACATGTGCAGTCAGTATTGGGGTTATGCTTTATCTTGGTTTTGTCTGAAACTCCTGGTTTGAATAACGTGTTTTCCCCCTGCTCTGCAGGCTGGTTGGACTCCCTTGCACATTGCCGCCTCGGCAGGCCGCGATGACATCGTGCGAGCGCTCATTGCCAGGGGTGCTAACGTGAATGCTGTCAATCAGAACGGCTGCACGCCTCTGCATTATGCAGCCTCCAAAAATAAGCAGGAGGTATGTTTGCTTGTGCTGCTGGAGGCGGTGTTGCTCTTGGAAGTGTTTAGTTGTATCAGCTTTACCTCCTTCTTCCTCCCTCCTTTCTACCTATTCAGATTGCAGTCATGCTTTTAGAGAACGGAGCTGATCCAGATGCAAGGGATCATTTTGAATCTACCCCATTACACAGGGCAGCAGCCAAAGGAAACCTAAAAATGGTGCAGATCCTTCTGCAGCACAATGCCGCTGTTAATATACGGGATTCTGAAGGGAATACTCCTCTGTAAGTAACTTTTAATTTGTATTTTGTTTAATACAGCATAATCTATGAAATGAAGCTCCATTACTTCAGTTTATTTCTTTTAGTTTCTTGTTGCCTCAAAATACTCCCTTGCTTCACACCCCTGTGTAATTAAAAGGGTTTGAGAAAATCATGCCTCGTATTGTGCCCAGGTCTGTCCGTACATACATACTTTACATGTGCTCCTACATCTACTTACGAAGTGTAGAATTCTGTAATGATTTGCAATATGTTCGGTGGCCACTAGAGGGTAGAAAGCGAGCTAATGACATCAAAGTCGGAGGAAACCAGTCATTTAGACTGGCCTACTCTGTCCTACCAAGCAAGAACTAATTCACCCCTCTAAGGAAAATAAGTTGCAGTTTAAGTGTAATCAGTCCAGTGTTTGATATTACCTTAGAGATCAGTTTGAACATGTGAAGGTAAAACCTTAGCTGCTTTGAAGTTGGTGGCAAAACTGTGTCTTGTCTACAGTGGAATCAAGATTTTGCCATAAATAAGTTCAAGCAGTATGTTTCACCTGTACATAAACCCAGCATTGTCCTGGAACACACATGGTTATTCTCAACATACTATGCCAAATGGAAGAAAGTGTTTGCTGCATTTTCAGTCACCCTTTACTTCAGATTATTTTTAAGCATTGTACAATTTGGTTTATCACTTTCAATTCAGATGGAGTTTCACTGTGGATTATGTGCTCCTTAGCTTTGCTGACTACAGAGCCAAACCCTAATCTAAAGAATTGTCTTCATGTTGCCAGGGCAATAGCAGGAGAAACATTCTCGGGTTGCTTAGTGACAACAGAGTGACTGGACAGCAAGTTTTGGAAGCTGTGTAGGTAGTTGGTTTTGTGTAATCTTGTTGTAGGATGTATGTCCCCCCAGCATTCACGCTGTTGTTTTCACAAGGCATAATTATTGCTCTTTATAAGATTGGACTGTTTAATAGTGGCTGTGGGTTTCTTGTTCTTATTACAGTCATTTAGCCTGTGATGAAGAGAGAGTGGAGGAGGCAAAGCTGCTGGTGTCTCACGGTGCAAGTATTCACATTGAGAATAAAGAAGAACTGACGCCACTGAAAGTGGCAAAGGGTGGCCTGGGAGCCATACTTAAAAGAATGGTGGAAGGCTAGTGGCGACTTGTGGCTTGGGTCTTTCCTGTTGCACTTGTATGTAGGTCTGCAAACTTTGTATTTTGATAGTTCAACTAGGATGTCACGTGGGCATCAGTATGGTAATAAAATGTGTATCTCTGGCTTTCTTTCAAGTACAGTGCCAAAACAACTGTTTGTACTTCCTGTTATAAGTAAATAGTTCACTGTTTTTAAAGTGGTTTTCAATATGTTGCAGTTTTTTTTCACTTTACAGTGTAATCTGTATAAATGGAGTTGTTCCTTTTAATTCAGAACCTAGATTAGGATTATTTTTTTCAAGCAACAGGACCAAAAATGCTTTAACCATTTAAAGTCAATTTTAATTTGGAAGCTTATTCTAGAGTCTTTGCTTTTGCCTTAGCCTTCGTGGTTTGTGTGTGGTTTGGTTTTTTGTTGGTATTGATTCTCTTCCTTCAGATGATTCTAAACTACACCTCTCCCTTTGTCAAATGCAGTTTGCTCAGTTACTTGGATAATTGTATCTGTGTTTACTCTTCTCAGTCTATACAAGTGAGCTCTGGGTGTCTAAAGTTTTTCTGTTGTTTCCTGTTGTTATCCTGTGTCTTTGAATCTTTGAATGTGTATTTGATCAAGTGCACTGGAGTGCTTGCAGAATGCAGGTGCAGTTTCAGGGTTACCTCTGCAAATACATTGTCAAATAATGGATGGTTCTGGATACTTCTTTGGGAGGTACTGCGAATCTAATTTAGTTTTCTCTTGCTCCTTCTGCAGATTTCTTTTTCTGTTCTGTTTGACTCCCATTATGTAGCATTTATGCTTGCAGTTTACCATCTTATTTTATAACAGACGCCTCGTTTAATTGCTATTTACTCATAGCAAATCCTGGTATTTAGTTATTAGAAGGCAGAGCTAATGAGACTGAGTCTGAAAAGTGACCTTCTCTTCTGATGTTGGTCAGATCACTTTTGGCACGAGTGGAATAGCTTGCCTCTTTCTGAACAAATGAAGCCAATGAAATTCTGTTAAATAAAGAACTTTCTTAAACAGCAGTCTTTGGTGTTAAAAACTTTATTAAACATACATGTAACAAAACCAATGTTTTCTAAATAGCTTGTACACTTGGGATGCAAACAAGAAGTCAGGTGAAACGCTGCTATCCGTTACACTGTATAGAAATAAAACCTGTTTGTTCTTCAGCTGCATGGAAAGGTTGAAATGGAAGATGATAGTTTCTACTTACAGGGATTTGACAGTTTGACTTGTAGGGATTAAGGTAATGCAATTTATTTTGATAAGCAAGACAGAAATTTAACAACCAAACACATATCTTCACAAAGTACTTCACCAAGTTTATCCTAGAACTCAAATGCGGGTTAAATCTCACCTCTTGAGAGCGTGAAGGGTAACTTGCCTATATATACGGTAACCTCTGACCATGCAGACCTTGCTTGAAGGAGGAACCTGACTTAGTAAATGTTTCTTATGTATTGTGCAGGCACTGCTGAAAACTTGAATTGAGAATAGCTGAAGTTAGCATTCTGTGTTCATCCTTCGTGTTTGTATAGCAAAAAACCCCTGCCATAGCTCTATGGCTTTGTAAATCCACTTCCCTAGGAGATGGTGACTTGAATGTTGGCTTAATTTCTAGTTTCCATATTAATGATCCCTATTCCCTCAGGAGCAGATAAATGGGCCATGCAGCAAAGACTGTTGGAACATCTGAGGCAAATTCTGAAAAATGTTTCTGCATCCTGCATAGCTCTGCAGGGTTTTTGAGCTACACACCATGGATCAGTGCCTAATTTAGCTGTGCTTTGCCAAGAGCATCAGTGGAAAGCTAGGAACAGTGCCCCATCCTTTTTAATAAACTAATTCACGTGAGGGAAACTTCATGATGAGAACAAACATCTGCCAGGAGGCTTACAAAAATAACTCAATGTGTTAAGAAACTCCAAATAAATGTTACTTTCCTTACCTTCCTCGTCACCCCCAGCAATCAGTATTAAAAAAAGGCAAAAATAAAGAGTAAATCTATCTATTACACACTGGTGTAGTGTGTATGAGAGGTGGTTAGAAGTATGAGAGGAATTATTAGTCTAGAGCTAGTGTTCAATTGTTCTTTCTTATATCAAAACATAACTTGAGCAATTTCTACTTTTTTAGCAGATATATAACCTGTGGTGTTCTATGAAGAGAGTATTTGCTGTAGAAGGTAATTGCAACTTCACCAGCATAAGCTCATATCTTACTGTAGCAAGTAATCTAAGGAATACATGCAGAGAAATTTGTGGAGGTGAGATTTAAAAATCATTATAATGACCACATAACATATTCCCCTCTTCAATCACATAGTGCTGGTGCAGAGATGTGAAAGCTGTTCCAGCTAGAATAATGTAACTAAGACACATATATACAGGAGATTACTTTAAAGAACTAATACAACTACAGCAATGTGGTGGAGAGATTTGTTTATATTTTCCCATAAAGGGCAAGAGTAAAAGAGTGCCAAGAGTGTCAGAGAAGAAAAGATTTAAAATTAATGCCACTGTCATGGCTCTCTTGGACCCGTAACTGATTTGAGCACATTTGGTAAGAAATGGCACCTAAATATGAGTAGGTAGCACTTACTCTTCTCTTGCTGTTACTCAGCATGCTTAATGTCTAGTTCTGCATGCTTACAAGAGTCAATAAGAGAGATGCCTGATTAAGGAGAGACTTCTGTACAGGTCATGACTTAAGGTTTACGCTGGATATTTTGGGGAGAGAGGAGTGTGAGGATCGACTGGTAGAATATGGCAGTGTTGGTAGTAGTAAGGGTTTGACCCTTGCAGTCAGGCAGAAGCAGTTTTTAGCTAAAACAGAATTACAAGAACACTGTAAGTGCTCTTTTACTCTGAACTGAGGCTAAATGCTAGGACACCTGTATCAAAGGCAAATATTTGAAAGCCAGAAAACTGCGTAGAAAGGGTGATGAATATAGTTATGCTTAATGACCCAAACTGAAGCTTAATTTGAACCTCAGGCCTTACAACTTCTTTAAATGTTGACAACCTTCCCCCCCGCACCCCATCTACCCACCGTCCTCT